TCGCTATAAGAGTATTAGACTAACAAAAGTGAAGAAAATAATCTCAAAATTAACTTAGCAATTTTTTTTATAAATAAGGTCATGCAGTTACTTACCTTCCTTTTTCTAATCTTTTTTAGATAATACTTTTCATAAAAAATTACCAGTAAAAACTTTATAAAAATGATTTATTAATGACCATTGTTAGTTAACTATGTCGGTTTAAAATTCTATTAAGTGCTATAAGTTGCATTAATTTTCTATGCTTAAGTCTCCTTCTTACTTTTTCAGCTAAAATTTATTAGTTAATAAAAAATATGAAAGTAAAAATTATCCTTCTTTCCATCTTGCGCTCACAAATCATTACGGGAATATCCATTTACAGTTATTAAAGCCTGAAAAAAGCATATCTGCGATGTTATCGTCATGCGATGATTTGTAGATACTTTATTTTTTACCACGATATTTTCGACGACGATGTTTTTAAAACTGCGAAGTTTTTGAACCGCTTTATTTTCGACGACGATATTTTGTACGACGATGTTTTAGAACTGCGATGTTTTCTCGTGTTAGCACGACGTTTTCGCCTTGCGTTGTTTTCTTTTTCCGCGATGTTTTTGCCGCGATGTTTTCGGCTGTAACCAATTTGGGGAAACTTAGTAATTCTGTATCTTTTTTTCACTTTGAATAAACTTTAAAGGGGAAAGTGTAAATGATTGACTAAATTCTACTCACAGCTTTCATGTATTCTTAAATGGTAAATTTACGACATTCGCAATTTGGCTTATATGAAATGAATCATTACAATATTTTTCTTCAGTTATCAGTTGATGGAATGTTTTCAAATTCCTTAACAACTTTCAACTTTAGAGTCTTATCAGTTTTTTCCTTAATAAGCCCACAATGGATTTTGTTGTTATTTTCTATGTCTGTTTCCCTTGACACAACAAACCCAAAGGTAGTGTTTTGTAAAATTAAATCTGAATTTTCAATTCTTATCTGCCATGGGTTTAACAAGGTCATAAAAAAATTCAGTGCCTAAAAGACCACTTATGCATTTTGGTACATTAAATTTATTTTACTTAAATAAATGAATTAAAAAGGCAAACATCCATCTCAGAATGAAAGTGTTATAAACATCTGCAATTATTTTGGGAACAACTACGGTATTCAAATGTCTTTTTTAACTGTTATCATCATTTCTTATCAAGCCATTAACTCTATATTTCATTATTTAAACCTGATACCCTTGTACTATTTATCTTTTCCTTTTTTAATTGCAGATTTTCCAAGTGAATGCATAAAATAAAATTTGATTCACTACCAACATCTAGCAGACATTGCAGTTGAAATTGTTTTCCTGTGTTATTATCTTATTGTATTCCTGTGTTAACAGACAGTATTTCTCAGCAAAACTGTATTTCTTCTGTTGGAAGTATTAGTCAGAAATGTCAAAACTATTTTTATTTTTAACTCTGTCACTAATACATTTCCAAACAAATTCACTTCCAGTTGAGGCATAGAACCTAATCATGGAAACGAAGAGTCTTGTAGTGTCTTTTTTAACAAAAACCTGAAAATATTGATTTTATTTTTGACAGAGTGCGGCTCTAAACAATTGAAACAGTTTACTATTCTCCTAAAATTCTATTCATTAGTTTACTTCTAATTTTAAATAACTTGGACATTTGCATAAACAATGACAAAACACATCCCCCTTTTTTTTGTATCTGAGGGTGTTTTTAATAACTGCAAGACTTATGTATTTTATTTGCACTTTCATATAGAGGTTTTCCACAAGATGTGAAATACAGGTCTCATTGCTTAAACCAGAGTGTGAACAGAAATCTGAGCTACTGTTGCTTTATCCAAAGTCTCAAATAATTTATCAGAACCTATTAATATTTCCAGTGTTTCAAAATTGGGTATCTTTCTTAGCTTAAGTAATACTCTTTCTTCCCTCTTATGCCTAATTTTAATCCAAAGGCTTTTAGCCTTAAATCTTTTTCTATTGCACCTTTAAGCACTTTTATTGTTCTTCAACAATGTAACTTTTACTCATATAAATGGTATAATCTGAAGTAGCAAAACTGATGTTCTTATACTGAATTTAAATCATTCAAAAAAATTAACACTATAGGATTTTAAAGCTCTCGGAATTGAAATCGAAGATCACTCATCTTTTCAGACAAATGGGAGCATGTAGAATTGCTCACTGTGTTATCCCATAGGTAAATTATCCAGCTCTAGCAACCAGCTATGGGCCTACTTATGATGAAGAATATATTGATTAACACAACATGTATAAAATCCTCAAAAGATACTCTCACATATGCTTTATTGTTCTTTTTTTGCTCTCATATAACTTACGTGTCACAGCTCAGTTTATGTTCCCTTCGTCGAACAACAGAACATGTGCCCTCTAGTGCACTATTACCTTCCGATTCTGAACTTGAGCAACAGCTAGAAAAATTTAATTACTGTAGCAGTACTGTTTTAGTGAAGAGATAAAAGTGAATTTCTTACTAAGAATGTTGTGATAAATTTAGTACAATATTTGCCATTTTTAAAAGAAATAATTCTGAGAGTATTTGTTGATGGCCATTTATCATTTAAATGAAAGATTTTAGTGTATAAAGTAGTAAAATTCGTGCTTGTCATTGAAGTGGTACTGGGTCAAACGTAGAATTTTTAATACTCTAAAGCTGGTATCTAATTCAGTTGTATATACTGTTAACCATGTCTGAATTTATTTTGCAAGAAGCATCTTAGGGCAAGAAGGACGTTGTGTGCATGAATTGAAAATTTAAGTTTATAGTCCAAGGTTTCCTTCCCCCTTAAGACCAATATCCAAGCTTCCTTTAACAAGTTTATCTTATTAGCCATAATGTCTTTGTATGGCCTTATATCATTAAATTACATAGTTATTATTCTATTGTTAAAAAACTGTAAAGTTCAGTTTGAATAAATCTTAAAGTAAGCTTCAGAATTGGCAATTACTCAGACACGCAGATTTAAATTATGGATATTCAAATGCAACTTTTTTTCCAAATTAAAATTTAATTAATATATACCTAATTTAAACTTTATTTATTTATTAATAATGTGATATTTTTTATTAGTATACTTTTTAAACTTTGATTTATTTTAATTAATATGTTCCATTACACAACCAAACAAGTGTGAGCCATCCAGCTGCATCTTAGAAAATGCATCTTTATTATTTATAGAATACAGTTTTGGAATAAATTACATTTCATTATTAATTCAGATATAAAGACTTTAAGGCTTCTAAACTGAGGTACTCCCAAAAACATGCACTTGTTTTGTGAAAGATTAACCCCTTCTTGGTCGGATTTTTTTCCCTCAAAAAAAGCCCCCACCCGTCTTTTTTTTTTATTATTATTATTGCTGTTAATATATGTTCTATCCTAAATTTGAAAATGTAAAATATTTTTGACAGCTGTTTTTGCTGGACCTACAGGTGGTCACATATGTGATATCCTGTCCACTGATCACCAGTTTTCCCTGCAATGTACACAAGTTTTAAATTTAAAAAAATACAGTGTGATATTATATTTATTAATTGTATTGTCTTGATGTGTTTAATATAAATAATTATTAAAATAATGTCAAAAATGCTTCAGAAAATGGTTTTCCAACCTTACTAACCTTTACCAGCTTTATAATCTGCTGCCTTGATATCCAAGCATAAAAACCACATTTATCACAAAACCAAAATCATTTATTTAATAAAAATTTTTTTTTTCTTGCTCACTGTATCAAAAAAATTGGCTTATATGTTAATCTTTAAATATCTTTAATGTTTTTTAATTGAAATTCTAACAGATATCACGCAGATATTCAAGGGGAGAAATCTCACTGCGAAAATTGCGGAGAAATTAGGCTAGTCACTCTATCTCTTAGCAATATTCAGAAATGCAAAAATAATCATGGAATTTAAAGCAATGTGTGAGTGGTGACAAACTCCATTCGACACCACCTTACGGGCACGAGAACGTTGGATGTGTGAGGTGCAAAACCGACCTAGAAGGGGTTAAAATATTGTATACGTAATATTAAACAATGTAATACTTGCAACAAGTCTGTGTTCAACACCAGATGTTGTACGTGAACATATCTATTCATGAATTATTGCATCTAAGAAACTCGATTGTATTTGATATGCCATTTTAGATCAGCATTAATAACCCTTGAACTATATCATACAGGTCTTAGAGACCTGAATTGTAATGTTAAGCCTAATGAGATACATTCCGCAAAGGTAAGAATAACCTTGTTTGTTTACATTATCTAAACATAAATCATGTGACCTCTGAGGTCATGAAAAAGTATATAGATCTTGGTATCTTCACCATTTCCTATGAAAATATTGAGAATGTTTTCGTTAAAATAAAATTATTGATAATTTCATAAATATCATTATGTAGTTTTGGATTTTCAAAATGTGTGATTTATTCAGGGGTTTTTATGACTCGGCCATAATGGTTATTTAAGTTTTTATCACAACAGAAAGTTAAATATTAAAAAAAAAGCTAGTTACGATATTTGTATTTTATGTGGTATTTAATGAGTTTATTGATTGGAGAAGATGATAAAGTATAAATGAAATGTATTATCTAACAGGTATTATCTAGGACTTTGTTTTAAGTCAAAATTATTTTGAATTTTATCATTGCCATTTTTTATAACAGTTATCTGAGATTCAATTAAATAAACTCAGTATTGATAATGAAAGGTTACAATGTATGGGAAAGTGAGGAAGTGAGGAAATTTTGATTTTTTTAGTCTGTTTTTCCATCCCTTTAAATCATCTTTTCGTAAATTAACAATTAAGTAAAATTAATTTTAAATTTTTCAGAACTCTTTTAGGAAGATTTTCTTTAATTAACTTGTAGAAAACTTTTGTGTTAATGTTATTTAAATCAGTTCTATAAATTGTAGCCACTTTTAAGTTTTAATCTTAAGAATAAATGTATTCTTATATTTATTTTATATATTATTGCTGAAGTAAAAATTTACTCTTAAGTAGAAGTCTTACAAGATGCTCTAACTTGAAGGATCATCTCTCCTCCAATGTAACATTGAAAAGTACAAACAAAATGTACGTATTTATTATAATAGGTTCTCAGTTATGTGCTACTTGGCTTTTGTTTAAAATTATTAGGTAGTTATATTTTAATGTGTTTATTTGTCTTAATTCCTTGTATTTTATGTATGTGAATAAATAATAATTTTCTAGATTTCCATTACTTTAAAGGGTCATGAAACAAAACTGTAAGCATACAAATTTTGTACCATATAACAGGTGTGGCCAAACTAAGACCCACAATCCACATGTGGCTCTTTGGCTGTTAAATGCAATTTGCATTTAAAGTTTTAACAGAAACCGTGCTATAATGCTCTATTTTTAATATTTTAAAATTTTAATTTTTTAATTATTTTAAAGCAGTTTTAGACAATGTTTAATAATTTCAAATTTTGCATTGATTATAAAGCTAATAATCAGTGGGCAAATAATTTCATTTTTGTAACTGTCATGACAACGGTACATCTAGAAATGTTAATGGCTATTTGGAGAGCAGAGAACTCATATATAATAGCTAATATATGTTTTCTGTTATCCATATAGCCATTACACTGCAGGTGCTGCAGTTTTTATTTGGCTGATATCTTACTTGAACAGCTGTATGAATTTGTATTAAAATAATTCGTGTATCTTTAATTGCCATTTTCCAGTAGTAAATGCTATCCAGTTTCATTTGTTGTGTCCTTTCCAGAGGTGCACAGATAGAATATAGAAATAAAAAAAGAATCTAGTTATGTTTTAAATTTGCTGCACTAGTCTTCTTTCAAATGAAAAACTTTATTCTTAAATGACTTCTATGTTTTTCCCTCATTTTCAACATACTTCTGTTAAAATTGTTTAATATTTATAATTAAAAAGAAAATAATTAGAGCCACAAAAAGTGCTTGTGTTTTCTATCTGAAAAAAGAGTGTTCAGCACATCACTAAAAAAGTGTAAAATTTGTGTCTTGTAGGAATATAGTCTCCTGAATACACAAATAGGTGTGGCAGCATTTATCTGTGTATTTATGTTATTAAAATGTCACAGTAATTAAAGAATTCCTTCTTGGTATCATTAGTTTTTTTTTGTGTGTGTGTGTGTGTGCGTGCGTGCGTGCGCGCCCGCCCATACTGTCGGCATCTTATGTTATGCAATGAGGGGGGGGAAATTTTCCTTGAAATTAAAATCATCACTACTTGCACATCTCATTATATTCCACAAGTATTTTTTGTATTTTTGAAAGAAGAAATGATACAATTAGTTCTGCTTTCTACATATATTTTATGGTGAGATTTCCTGCCTTGAATAGGAAACATAATCATTTTGTATTTTTTGAAATTTTGTTTTGTTTACTTATGGTTGCATGTCAAAATAGCCTTTTCAGAGTGTGAGGTCAGTACAGCCAAGATTTATTTTGACAATGTAAGCATTAAAATAATCTGCAATAAATTACTTCAGTATGATTTTTATGCTCTGTTGGCTGAGAAAGACTGTAAAGCAGTTTTCTGAGTATCATTGAAAACCTATTTTCCAAAATATTTTTTACATATTTTTAATAATTCTTTTAATGCAGATATTTATCTTAAACACCTCAAAGCAATATATTAGATCTATGTAATATTAAAAAGTACTTTTTTTTTTAATTTAAAATTTGTGGGTATTGCAGGAAAAACTGTCATGAAGTTTAGCTACCATGCCATATAATTTTGAGCAATCCATGGCTAGAATATTTATTGCATAATTTTCAATTAATATCAGATAAAGTTCAGATTCTTCTTTAAAATATATTTTGGCTGTTGAAGTAGTAAATTTCATTGAAAAGGGAAAATTTTGGTAGGGAGTTAAGTATTAATCATTTTTATCATTATTCATTATTACATTCCCATTCTATATATTAATTTTGATTCATTTCATGATCATCGCTTCTTAATTTCATTCCTCCTATATGAAATTTGTTTTAATTTTTCAAAATTATTTTTATGTTAATACAGTTTATATAGTTCTTTGATGTTAAGAAAGTGTTGCATGCTTAAAAATGTCTTCTGATTATCAAATGTAAAATATTATGCACTAATATTTAAGTGCAGGTGTAGCTAAAACATAATGTTTGACTTCAGATTCATTTTATTCCGGTAATTAATTCATTTGTTTTATGGTTTATGAAACAAACTTGTATTGTTATGTAACAAACTTGCATTTTTAGTTTTTTGTACAAAAGTCCAGTTTGCTCATGAAAAATATTAAAATAAGTATAATATGCTATATCTTACAGCTCAAGGTATTTGTCAGTTGTGATTATAAAATTAGTAATGAATTTACTTCACAATGGAACATTAAACGTTTATTATAATTTTCACGTTTTTGTACAAAATTCCAATTTACTCACAAAAAATATTAAAATGAATATAATATTCCATATCTCATAGCTTAAGGTCTTTGTCAGTGTGATTATGAAATTAGTATGTAGAAAAACATCTATCTAATCAGCAAACATAATGCGTAGGATATGTAATATCACAGAGGAGAGATATTTGAACATAATAGTTAGTATATGTAATATCATGGAGGAGAGATATTTGAACTCCCCCTATCATGTCATCTGTTAATATTTTATCCACCTAAAATATAATGATAATTAGAAAAATTAAATAAATCATGTAGTATCTGTAACTGGAAAAAATCTTATAATATGTAAATTTGCCATTAAGGTATATTTTAATTTGAATAACCTTTCCTATCAATTCTTGTTTCCACTTACAACTCCATACCAGAATAAGTTTTTAGAATCGCATTGAATGCAAATGAGTTAGAAGAAGTATTTAAATAAGGTTCAAATTACTTTGAGAGAGAGAACTATAAAGTAGCTAATAGCATGTGTTTGCCTTCGGGCTAAGTATTTTGGAGCTGTTATGCTCGGCCGTATTATTACATGCCTTTTGGTATTCTGTCACTAGTTTAAATTAAGGGCCTATGTTAGATACTTGTGTTTAGCGTTTAGCTTCGGTTAATTCTCCTTTAGTTAGTTATAGTTTAGTTTCTTATTATGAGTGAAGGCTTTGTTGTAAGCCCGAGAAAGGGGCTAACTATTATTCTTAAGTAAATAAAGGGTATTTTAACCCTTCTCGAGTCTACGTTTTAGTTGTGTGAGCCCAACGATAAGCCACTAAATAGTTCACTAGGTTCCTTGACATTCATTAGAGACAAAAAGAGTGAGGAACCCTACAAATGTACTTTTAATGTTTTTGTATGGGCACATGTAATAATAATATGTGAAAAGGGAAGGGAAGAATTAAGTTTTATAATATTGAAGAAGGTAAACATAAATCCAAACTATATGAAGTGAAGTGCTGCCCCTAGTTTAGATATAGAGAGATTGATGTGCTTGAAACTATTCTTCTAACATCAGATATTATCCAAGAATAACAGAAATTAACTTTAGCCATAGTTTAATATGAAGTGAAGTATCACAGATATGCAGTGTGCATAAAATTGGTGCAAATTTTGTTTAAAAAAAATTTTAAAAAAAAAAAACCTAGAGTATGTGTAAAGGGGGAATTTTTTACATACCTAACTGTTTACTTAATAGAATGACTCCATTTTCTGAGTTAAAAGCAATTCCCCGCTTTAGAAATCAACATAGAATATTAAGGCTGTTCTATGATCTAAGTTTTCAATCAATGTAAAAGAAAACTGAAAGCTAGAGTGTGTATGAAAGTATTGGAAGGAACTAAGAGAGGAGAGAAGCTTCGACTTTAGACTACATAGAGGCTTTGAAATGATAAAGGCCCTTTTTTAAAATAAAAGTTATAGGATTCATGCATAAAATAGGTACCTTCCTTAAAAATGTAAATTAATCTTCTCATGTGTAACTGGCAATGAAAAACTGAACAGTCATACCAGCAGCAATCCTTGAACTTCATTGACATCAAAAACATGAAGTGTATGTGTGCTTGTACATGCAATTAATTCATTCTGTGACTAATTGTTGGATAATATGGCGGTTATTTTATTCCTGAAATTTAAAATTTACTAATTCATATAAACAAACTAGGAACGTTTTAAGACAGAATTAATTTGTGTAATCTGTGTTTTCTGTTATAGCTGTTAGATATAAATGTGGTGAACAATAAACAAAATGTGCCTAAGTTTTGCTTCAAACGTGTAAATACAGTACAAAGTCCGTAATCCGAACTCGTCTCGACTTCAGCGATTCCGGATTATAGATCATCAATTTAAATCGGGTAAGATGGCATGCAGAAATTATACAATTAAAAATATGAAACCGTAATTTATGAAATAAAGAGCAATTATTCTCTAAAGGGTACCAAATTTTACAAAAAAAAAAAAAGCTTAATATTTATTTGTTTACTTTATTAAACATTTCTTTCAAAGCACGCATGCGTAAAGCATAATGTATGCGCATTCTTTATGTGTATGCGTTAAGTTTGTGGCTTTGAGATCAGATCTGGATTATAGATCATTCTGGGTAATGGACATATGAATTACGGACTTTGTACTGTATTATTTATGGATTCTGAATAGAGGAAAAGAAGGAAATCATTTGATACTTTAAGATATTGTAGCTTGTACATGATAAACACTATTTGATTTGAGATAGAAATAATTTGGTGAGAATTGCTAATATGAGGAAATCCACTGCTAAATTATTGTAATGATTCTTAAAAATCACTTTCATGATAATTTCCTTTACTTTGTATTTGAAAGCAATGGCAATTTTAAGCATGTTTCTGGGATATTGCATGTGTTGTTATAGGCAAAATGTTTGTTTCATTTGTCAGATGAATGTTTCTTCTAATTGGGGAATGATACTAAATGGAAAAACTATGTGACTTTATCAAATACCCATCCATTGCACAAATGTGTTAAAATTTTTTATTCTAAAATGCTGTTCTAAATATAATTAATAATAAGTAAAATTTCACGAATATGCCATATACAGTTGAATACTGCCTATATTGAATTAGCAATAGATTATAAGAGATGCTTTTCTTGCACTTAATTCTGACCCTCTTAATAGTACACTGTGAGGGGGAGGACAGTTCTATATCTTCCGTTCTACTGGGCTGATTGACGAAATTCAACTTGAGATTTTCATGCCTCGAAAGCGCGACTTAGGATATGTATTAGATTTATATATAGTATTGTTCTAATATAGGTATTTTGACCCAAAATTGGACTTTTTCTGAAATAACACACCGATTTTCTTCCATATTCCGATTCTACGACTCATATTATGCAAAATGCCAAGTCTTGTAAAATTCGCATGAGCAGTTTTTAAAAATTTATTAATGTCTCTTTTTTTATTAAACTTATTTGATTCTTCCTTTCATATTTCAAAATTTGGGTACATTCCAAATAAAATTCACGTATTTTTTATGATTTATTTTTTAAATTTGTATTTTTAAGTAATTTTAAAAAAATTCGAAAACAATTTTGAATTATAACCTATAACAGTTTTGCCATCATCCCAACGTAGATATATCTGTAAGCATACCTGCAAGAAATTAGAGTTTTTTATTCCAAATTTCTGAAGATATACGTGAACTTACATTTTGGCTTGTTTTGAAATTTGGCATATTTATTATACACAATAACTAAAATGTGGTTTATGCATTCTTTTAAAAATTATATGAAAGTATGAACAATGACTTTTTTCCCGCTCGTGGACAATGAAGAAAAATTAAAGGAAACTAGGTTGCTCTAAATTAAGAAATTCGCCAAGATAAATTTCTAAATTTCCTTATAAATTCTCACCAAAAATTACAAAATTTAATATCTAGGCATAATTTGAGTCGTAGAATCAAAATATGGCAAAAAAAAAAATTGCTATGTTATTTCAGAAAAAGTCCGATTTTGTGTCAAAATACGTATGTTACAACAATACTATATCTAAATCTAATACATATACTAAGTCATGTTTTTGAGACATGCAAAACGCAATTTGAATTTTGTCAATCGGCCTAGTAGAGCAAGAGATATAGAACTGTACCCCCCCCCCCCCGTAGTGTACATTAAGTATACATAATAGTAGTATCTTTATAGATTATTTTTACCGTTCAGATAATAATATTAAGAATGTTTTTATTTGCAGGTTTTGTACAGTATTAGAATATTGTGATGGACATGACTTAGACTTTTACCTAAAACAACATAAGAGTATTCCAGAAAGGGAAGCACGTTGCATAATAATGCAGGTTGTTCATGCTCTTAAATATTTAAATGAAATCAAGCCACCTGTAATTCATTATGATTTAAAACCAGGTAAGAGTTGTGGTAGCATTTTTTGTGTGTATTGAAACCCAAGCGATATTTTTAAATGTTTACCTAGTATATGTTAAGAATTGCATTTCTATTTATCAGCTAAGCATTCATGTTTGTGTGAGTCATGATTGTTGAAGTAAGAATGAGTGAATAGATATTTTTATGCCTTAAAACAAATTCTCGCTTTTGGTTTTTAAAGTACCCAATCAGAATAAAAGATTCAAAACTGATTTTCGCTTTCGGTCTTCCCGCAATTTTTATTAGAATGTTATTGTTGTCGTTTAACAATTTTTGTCCCCCACAAATAAAGGTATTCTTTTGCTAATCAACAAAACCTGAGCTATTTATCTTCCATATTAGGAAAGTACATTGCTGATTAGCATAGCAAAGTAAATGAGTTATTTTTTTTTTATTTAATTAATAATTTTTTGGAAGAAGTGCTGATTTATAGCATTAATGTTCTAAGTAAAATTGTTTTCTAGCAGTGTTCTGTGATATGTTAACTTTGAAGTTTTTAACTCTGCTTCAATTCATTACCATTTTGTGTTACATCTTAACTTCAGTTTTTATATATTTATTTTCTATTTTATTTAACTTTTGGATAATCTCTTTCTTCAAATGGTAATACATTTTTAATACTGTTTAACCGTAATAAGCAGAGTTGAATTTTAGACTTCATTTTTTATGCAGGACACTTTTTCCTGATGAATAAATGAAAAAATATGAAATATTATGAATATAATATGGACATTTTTTGAAGAATTATTGCAATTTGGAAAAATAATTAGACAGAATTCAGTATGTCATAGATGCATAAAGTGCATGCAAGTATTAGTCTGTTTTTAAAATTCTTGGCATAAAATTAATACAAATCTGCTGTGAAAAGCTGAAATTTGCTAAGATTTTAGCACTCAAGCCTATGTTAACTTCACATTATACTTAATTAGCCAAACAGCAGTTTTATGCTTGGCGTACATTTTAATCAAAATCCATATATTTCAAGGGTTATTAGGCTCAGATTCCTTGTCGTCAGGAGCAAACCTGCTGTGCTAGTGTTCGTTTTGCTGCATCCTTTGTTTTTATGGTTAATAGTCATTGCATCTTGTTTCTTTATAGAATTGTTTTTTTACTAACTAATTGGGATTTGTGCTTAGGTGCTATGCTTATGTTTGTATTGCTCTGTCCTTTGTTTCTGGTATAAATATGGTCATCGATCATTCCTTCTTTGCAATATTTTTTTTTCCTTTTGACAAAGAAGAACCGTACTTAATCACCCTCGAGATTGGTAGAATTTTTATTAAAACCATCGCTGAACATAAGGTTGCTGTTTTGCCGAGTTTTAAGTTTTACATTCATGTGTTTCTGTTCTCAGTTGATTCATATCATGATTTCACTGACAGAGAAGTTCAAGCAGATACAAAGATGCAGTTCTAAAGCATAACCTGTGTAAAATTATGTATAAAATTTAACAATAGTAATAGGGCTAATGTAATAATTTTACAGCTGTATCCTGTTGCTAATTGTGTTGAGCTCATGACCATCTTTTCATATGGTATGTTAGCCATATACTCGTAAGTGTGAGTAACATGCCATATGATGATGATTATCTCTTATTTGCAGAACTATCTTGGATAGTTCTGCAAATCCATTAATTGAACATTGCAGTTAAACAATATCTTCCTTCAGTTATATTTTGTGTAAGTCCTTCAAGTTCCTGAAGTATTTCATAAGTCGCATGTAGTAGTACCCTTAGTTATATTGGGTTTGCTCCCAAAAAGTCCTAACATTTCAAGGAAGTTTCTTGCTTGATAAGGATGTGGATTTTAGTTCTGTCTCTGCTACTTTGTTATCTATGCATGAATCTATGTACCAGGAAATTAAATTAATTAAAATTTGAAATTTATGGTTATTACTGTCTACTTGGTAACATCAGACTTGACTTTGGCCTTCTGACTTCGCCAGTAAAACAATTTTATGCAGGGACTTACATGCTCATAGCCAACTTTGAAATTACAATTATTCCAGTTCCGCTGGAAGGGGAATGTAAGATCTTTTAATGTCTTATAAACTAGAGCTTTTGTTTAACACTAACGGTGGGAAAATCTTAACTACTGTAACAGTGGTAAGGGGTCATTTTAACCCTTCAATGAAAGTACTGAAATAACAACGGTAAAACAATACTAAATGCCATGCATTGGCACAAATATGTACTTTATATGTATTTCATAATTTATATTTAATATCACATGATAATTTATTGACTTTTTAAAATACTATAAATATATCGAGTACATGGTGATCAGTTGGATCATACTACAATCACTCAAACAACTCATTAATTTGATATAAGAATTGATTTCAAATAAATGGTTTCACAAATTAAAACTAATGTTAACTAAAATAAAACTCAATTTATATAATAATATTTTTTATGTACTTACTCGGAGGATGATTCACTCTCTAAATCCAGAAATGAGAAATATTCTCTGATGTTTCAGTTATATCATTATATGTGTAGCTGATTGGAATATGTAAAGCATTTCATTTCAATTCTATTTAATGTTTAAAATATTAGAGATTACACATACGTATTAAGAATTAATGCAGTTGATACAAAAATAATTTTTAACAATTTTTCCAGTACATTTTCCACACCCAACTTTGGAACAAGATGCACAATATTCTTGAGATTTGTTTCCATTGCATCTCTGTACTTGACAATTTTTGTCTTTATATCCATTTTCTTTTCATGTGTTTTTTCTGAAGACTCAGGAAGGATCTTTGGGAGTTTTGAAGCCATATGTTCAACTCTTAATGCTTCTCCTCATTTCAGAAGAAAATCTCTCCTGTTAATGGTGTTTCCTGTTACACTTTTATAAATTATCCTGGCGTTCAAAGCTGCGTGATCCAAAATATTGAAAAAGATATGTACAGGCCATTGTCTAGAAGTCGATTTAACTGAATATTTTCAGCACATCTAATCACGAATACGCATACCATATATTGTTGCATTGTAAAATGCTATTGAATCGGGCAACTTCTTGAGACTGTCTTCAGTTTTTACAGTACAATATAATGAGCTCAGTAGAAAAACGCTTTTGTTTCTTTTGCCTTGATAGATGGTAGATGTGATATTATCATGTTCCACTATTATCGATAAATAAAGATTACTACGCATATTTTTCAAAGATATAGGAATTTCTCTTCTGTTCTTTTTCATTGTGCCGACCATAGTTGTATTTTTTGATTTTAGCATTTCTGCTAATTTAATGCTAGTAAAATAGTTATCTGTGGTAATATTCCTCCCTTTGATTTGATGTGGCTCCGTTAATTTATGACAACATTTTCAGACAAACATAATTGAGGATTTGCTGTTTCATCTTTTCCTAGATAAGGAAATGCATTCAAGAGGTATTTAGTATCAACATCGACAGATAACGAAAATTTTATTCAAAATTTGTCAGGTTTATTAGGCATATATTGTATAAATCTACACCTTTAGATGGGAATAATTGTTCATCAACTGTAATATTTTGTTTTGACCAGTAGCACATTTTGCAGTTTTCAATAAATTTGCTCCTCATGTCTGATGCAAGAGCAAATTTATCAGTCTGTAATCTAGTAGATCTTTTTGTCTTTTCATCGAACCTTAAAAATCGTTTTATTTGTTTGAATCTATCTCTTTATATAGTTTCTTTGCAAAATGGTATTCCCCGTGCTTCAGACCACAAGGAATATAAATCTAAACCCTTTGATCCTATTACTCCTCGAACATACAATATAGCGACAAAAGCATCTAACTCAGCCAGAGATAACGTCCAGTCTTTATTTCCAAGTTGCCAATGAGCTTCGGATTAAGTACATTTCTTTATGTGCAGCAAGATATCATCATCAATAAAAAGTTGAAAGCACTAGACAGTTTGTCCTCAGAAACACGATTCTTTGCAAAAGTTGTTAGTTTTGCTGTTTCTTTTAAAACATTATAAGCAGGAACACGGCAGCAGACTGAATTTTTGGAATTTATTTCATTCCATATAGAGTTATTAGGAGCTGTAAAAACAGCTTTGCAAATACTCTGATCCGTTTTTTCCTGTTTATTTCTGCTGAGTTCTTTGTTTACTTCTCTGTCTTTGGATTCACTAATAGTTTGTGTCTGGAATTCATCTTCAGTTTCTACAGAAATGAGTCCTCTGTCAGACTAATTTTCAGATAGCTCTTGCAACAATTTTTTAATTTCTTCATCTGTAAGACCTCTTTTCTGCTTATTAGACATATTTTGTAAAAGTTGAAAAAATAGAAAAATTATCAGACTATCAGAAAACGATAGGTAGTATATTTTAGCATATGATTCAGGAAAAGTGATAATAAACTAGACGGCAAAATTCATATGTACTGTAATACTGATTTGGGATTACCAAGAATATATCTGTCCTAACTGTTATCACCTGCAGAAAGTAAGCTGAACTAACAAACGAAAAAATAAACTATTTCTGAAAAGAAATGTAAGCATGAAAAAACCCTGCATCTACACCCAGGTTTTTATCCCTCTAGGAGATAGTATAAGTGCAAACGAAAAATCCTTATCAGGTCATGTTTTTCATGGGTTATTTGACAATGTCTCGAGCAGAAAAAGGGATAAAAGTAAAGGGGTCAAAATGACCCCCATCCGCCGTTTTAGAAATACATGCCAATATTTCAAAAACTAACAAACCTAGAATGTTTAAATATTTTTTATCTATTTAGGAAAAGTAAAAACAATTCTAGCGATTTCTTCCAATAAAACAAAAATAATTAACGGTCAAAAGTGTTCAGGAGTCAAAATGACCCCTACCGCCGTTCTAGTGTTAATGACTCAGATGCTAAAACCTATCTACACAACAATGGCAGTGGTAGCAATCCAAATTTAACATTGCCAAAGATGCTGAGAGAGAAGTTATTTATGATTGTGGCTTGAGTAATATGTTTGTTACAGGCCCCATGTCTTCTTACAGTCTTCTACA